AACTAAATTTAATTAATAAAATTTTTAATAATTTAATTTTAAATATTTATTATTAATAAAAAATACATTAAAAATTATCAATTTTAGTTTTGTGTAATGTTATACAATTTTGTATAACTTTAATTATTTTAAAAAATACTATATAGAATTTTATAATTTTTTTTTATTTAAAACCTTTAAATTTAATAAGTTTATTGTAATAGGATATAGTAACTTAGTGAAGTGGATAAGTTGTTAACTCTCAAGTAATAGATTGGAAGTTCAAAACTTACTGATTACTAAATTTAAAAAAATCACCTATGTTATATTAATATTATAAGAGATAAGTAGTATTATGACAATAGCATTCCATTGATTAGTCAGAATCAGATATCTGTAACATGGTTGCATCAATATAACTAGCAGATTATAGAGCATTTGCACAATATTGAAGTTATACAGAGAAATGCAAACCAGCATCAGGTAATGCAAATCCAAGATAAATTTTTGTGGTTATATAAATTCATAAACTAAAAAACCAAAGTTCATTTAGTAAGACCCAAATAGAAAAATAATATAGATTTTAGACAGTATAATTGTAAAGACTAAACCTAGAAAATAAATACCAATATGAAAGAATTAGACAAACAAGAATCTTGGATGAGAAGTACTACTAACCAAGTTGCCAAAAGTCTCAAACTGAAGAAAAAAAACCTTAAGAACAGATCCTAGGATATCAAAAACAGGTCATAGTCCTACCGAGCTATCTGAATTGAGAATCTAAAGTCAAAAGTAAGAGTATATTATAAGTATTAGAGATATGTTATGAAATCAGTGCTAGGGTCTGAATGAACTCTGCAAGGGTAAGCCTTGTTAATAAGAGACTAAATGTGAGTAGTTAGTTAGCAGAAAACCCTCTGGAACCTGATAATCAAGTGATATACTTTAAAATATATAATTATTTGATAGATATACAAATAGGAAGGTCACAGTTAGGTTAGATGACACTTAGATGTACAGAAACTTATGCACTATTTGTCAATATAAGTATAAGGATCAGTGTGTTTAAATAGGTAATCTCCTAGTAGATTGCAGATATGACAGCTAGTGTAGAACCTGCTATGTAAACAGACTACTTAAAATAGACAACCAAAAGTTGTATGTGTGACTAGTTGTATACTTACCTTGTACAAGTTATGTAATCATAATTAAAATATAATAAAGGCAATAGCTGCCAATAACTACAGCCTTAGCGTAAGTAAAAAAAAAAAAGTTTATTATATAATTTTTAGTCAGATATCTTTTTTAATTAGCTTGTTATAAATTTTTAAAAAATGTTTACAATAATATGATAAGTAGCTGTATCTCTTTAGAGCTCACTTATATATTTCTAAACAAAAAAATATTTAACAAAAACAGCTTTTTGGTTTTAAACAAGGCACATATCTAGTTGACACATATATTAATCATTTTCAACAACTGAAAAAACAAGTTGCTTCTGAATATGCATTCATTGCAAACTTTACAATCAATTATTTATTTAAGGATAGCATGCAGAATAGTTTGATAAAAGTCGCCAAAATTTAATTACGTATGTTGTGCTTAAAACATCTAAAATAAAAAATATCAAAGACTTTATTAAAGAGATGAAAGCATATTGTAAAATTGGAAAAACTCATCCATCATTTTTGAAATGTTATGGAATATTTAAAGATAATGATGACAAATATGTTTTAGTTTTGGAATATGCTGCTGAGCAATCTTTGAGTAACAATCTTAAAAAGGTATTCAAAATGGATTGGAGAAGGAAAGTTAAGTCGTTACATTATATAGTTGCTGATCTTGAAATAATTCATTCTCATGGATACGTTTATCGAAATTTACATAGTGGAAATATTTTGCAGGACGATATCGATAATGCGTATATTGCAGAACTAGGTCTCACTTCGTATTCGAAAAAAAGTGAAGTCATGAACATTTTACCTTATCTTGCCCCGGAAGTTTTGCAAGAAAATCAATTTTCACGGAAGTCTGACATTTATGCGTTAGGAGTAATCATTACAGAAATAGCTAACGGGAAACGTTCACCTTTTAAATGTAAACCTGGATTCGATTTTGGAATTCCAGATCGTTATGTTAAGTTGACTGAATGATGCATAGATTCTGATTTGCAAAAACGACCTACTGTTAAAGAAATTTGGAAGAAGTTAGATAAATGGAACGAAGTCATGAAAAGTTCAGATGATGAGAATAAAGTTAAAAAAACAATTCTTAGAAGGGATGAAATTATTAAAACATTACCGATAAGTGTACAAGACCATGATAATGATTCATATGCAAGTAAGATTATAAGTGAGGAGGAATGTAAAACTCAACTCTAAAGTTTGGAACTTTCTTAAAAAAAAAAAATGCAATTAAAAGATTAGAATAAAATTTTTAATACATAAAATTTTATGTATTATTTAGTAGAGATCCGTTGATCTGTAATCCGTGTAATGCGCTACGAACAATTGAAAATAGTGCTGGAAAAGGGACAAATTTGACAATTTTTTTAAATAAACTTTTTTTATTTAAATCAATTTAGAATAAGATTAAAATCATTTTTTATTTAAAACATAAAAGTAGTTGTGATAATAAAACTTTGCAGAATAGCTCTTTAAAGTTTGCATTTTCTTATGATTTAATATAAAATTTATAACAAGATTTATAACATAATTGATTTCTGAAGATTTTTTTGTCAATTTCGTCCCTTTTCTCATCTGATTACCTTTTTATACATCAGGTCTTGCATTTGATTGATAGAATCATGTAGTGAATGGCTAACCCCGTAGCTCACCCACAATTTTCCCGGCACGTGACCATGGCCAATTAGATTGAAGGAGCAGGTGTAACGTGAAAATCACGTCTTTTTAAAAAATCGCTATTAACTCGATATTTTACCTATGAAACTGCCTTCAGCGTTCTAATAAAAAACATTTCTCGTGAAATTTTAGTGTAAGATATGACCTTCCTTATCCTTAATCCTAATTTTAAATATGATTCTTATTACTTTAAAATCTTTCGCTTAATTCGATTGTTTTGATTTTACATTACGCCTTATCCTTCGTTCTAATTGGCCAAAAATCACGTGCCGGAAAAATCTGTGGGTGAGTCTGAATGTCTATGTCCATCATGTGATTACAGACCAATTAGAATTCAACTAGCATTGTGCATATTCTTAGCTAATGATCATGTTTAAATAAAGGTAGAATATCGGTGGCAAAAAAAAAATTCGCGACTACGTCATCGCTGACCTTTCCGAACCCATCGGAAGCCTTATAACGAATTTATATTGATTGACCGTTATATAATCAATACTGATAATCAGCATTGATTATATAAAGATTTGATATAAGTAGAGATGGGTTTTATGCGTGCACATGATTCCGTTTCATCGCATTTTATCCCATCAAGATTTCTCTCCTCTCGATCGAGTTTCTTTTTTTTGCCTTTTTTTTTATCATGCAATATCATATGCGCATTTTCCCCATCATTAGGTATAAGGCTTCCGATGGGGTTTGGAAAGGTCGGCGATGACGTAGTCGCGAATATTTTTTGCCACCACTATTCTACCTTTTAAATAACACTAGTAATTATTGAATTGACCATAAAAAATGCATTCATGTTACCTTGAGGATAGTAGATAAATTCAGTTTGAATTTCTAACAAATTCGTTGATCTATTTTTTTCTCAACACTTAAAATTGAGAATCAATGAAGTTTTCAAACACAAAAAATCTAATTTACAAAAAAAATACAACTGAACAATTTGACTAGTTTTAGAACCAATGAACAAACGTATCATAATTCCATTTTCGCATTAATACAAAATTTGATTCGATAATATAAGACCATTTTTTTTCATTGTGAATTTTAATATTTTCATTTAAAACCAAACCAGAATAAAATCAAATTTAATTAATCCGAATTAATAATCACAATAATAGTTAAAAATTAGATTCTTTATTGAACTATTTTTTTTTCAATGATACAAAAACTAGAAATTAGAATAAAAATCCTTAATTAGAAATCAATCCAATACTAGCGATTTGTAACTATGTCCTAAGGGTAAATCATTATATAGGTTCGAAAGTTCTATTACACGTAAACGAAAATGAAGTGTTGATAGCACTCAATTTGTATTCATTGATCTCATCCGTAAAATATCCTAATTATATATTTCTGTAATAAAAAAATAAATAATTGTTCATTTGAACAATCAAGCAAGAAAGTTACAAAAAGCTTTAGGTTGCTCGATTTTATACATTAAGTTTCCCGTTAAACAGTCAATAACAGTTATTACCCTCCAAACTATATAAAAAACAAACGTCACAACTAGAGGTGCAGACTTATTTACATAATAAGTCGTAACTAGGCCATAGTTTATATAAAAAATATGTTTTTTATGTAAACTACAACCTATCATATAAATATGCCTGCACCTCTAGTCACAACTACAGCTTAGGTCGAAAACGTGATGCATATCAATTCAATAATTATTCAGTAATAACATATTACCGTATAAATAATCTTCTATATACTGTACGTGTCGTTGAATGACATACGATCCATCTATATGATCCCGATTTTCTTTTTACAACACTAGCGTTATCGTTGGCATCTTCATCGAGCTAGAGGGATTCATTCATCTCACTGACGTTTACTTCTAACTAACATAACTTTAAAATAAGTCAGCCTTAATTTCAGTAAAATGGTCGTTTGGAAAATAAGATCTACCGACTAAAACTTGTCTTAAATTAGGTCTTACTGTTATATATTTAATTAGCAATTTTAGGTGAATAAAACTTCGGACGTTTGAAGTTGTTCAAGCTAGAGTTAATACCTGGATCCAGATTTAAACACTTATATCCGGTTCTTAAGATTAAATCTGGATATAAATACTTAAATCAGGATCTAGGCGTTAATTCTAACTCAAACTAGCTTTACCAGTAATATTCTGTACGGTAATATAAGTACTTTTTCATCTATTCATTTTATTCTGATTGTTGTTAACGTCTTTCTTTATTTCGGTCATTTATTTTCTGTTGGCTTCGGTTTGATCCACGAGGAAATCAGAAAATTTTTCATTAGATATTCATAATGCCATTTCAGTTATAACGATAAGGCAGAATCCAACTTCTAATGGCTTATTCACGGTAAATATTCATAAATCGGTTCATTATTCCGTATTATTTCACCGACAGCTCATTTAACCGACATCACACCAAGCACAAATTTACTAAAAAAATATATATATATCAGTAAATAATAAAATGCCAATCCTAATCCTATGTGATGTCGGTCAAATGAGCTGTCGGTGGAATAATTGTCGACGAAGTATACGGCAACGATTTTTGACAGACCACTAATGCTTCCTTTTTTTCTTTCCTAAGTTTTAGTTTTAAAAAATTAATTATGACAGAGCAAGAGTTAGAATTTGATGGTAAAGCGATCTTTGTGATAAGCATGGGCGCTTTTTCGATTTTTTTCTGTGAACGAGGCTGAGTTGGACGCTAAAACTTGTAACAATAATACAAATGCGTAAATACTATTACTTTCTGTTTGAGTTTTGTAGATTCGTCGCTTGGGTTTTCACTTTTCTAATAAAGTTTCTTCTAATACTGGGATACAAACGACTTGAATATTAATAGCGTTCGATTTATATTGTTGGGCTTGTCCGTAAATTATTTCTAAAAAAAAATAAAACGCAAAATAAATAATTGATCATTTGAACAATCAAGCAAAGCATTGCAAAAAGCTTTTGGTTGCTCGATTATGCATCAAATTTTCCGTTAAACTGTTACTAACAGTTATTACCCTCCAAGCTGTATAAAAAACAAACGCCACAACTAGAGGTGCAGACTGATTTACGCAATATGTCGTAACTAGGTCGTAATTTGCATAAAAACAATTTTTTATGTATTACCTTATACATATTAGCCATAGTCTTCCATATGCGTTTCGTAAATCAGGCTGGGTTAGACGACTAAAACTTGTAACAATACAGTTACGTAAATACTACTACTTTCTGTTTGAGCTTTGTTATTTCAAATTACTAACGTACTTTCGGTCTCAGGCTATTGATGCACTTTCTTTTTTAGCAAAGTAAATTCGTCGGTTCTATTTTTTGTTTTTCGCTTTTCCAATAATGTTTTTACTGTAAGGCCTGAAATCGAAACTGACGGCATGTGACGACGTGATCGTAATACAATTGAGTACGACGATCTACTTCCCAAAAAAAGAGATCGAGTTAACTAATTAACCTAATTGGATTAAGTGAATTAGAGGAATAATTTGAAAAAGATAGATTTATAAGTTGAATGGGAATGGTTGGTTAAATTAGAATAATTAGATAAACGGATAAGATGATGTTGTTAAATTAGTTTGCGCATATGTACAAAAAGTTATATATTATCTGACTCTTCGACCAAAATAAAGTTTAAGCTTTTCGTTGTCACAGGATAAAAGTGATATTTCCGATGATCAACTAAAACTGCGGTACAACCATCTGATTTTCGAAACAGGGTCGCCAATCGAATTGTTCGAGAAGTAAAGATTACATACGATCTACGAGGCTTGAGGCAAACTCTGGAAGGTTCTAGCAATAAGCAAAGAAAAGAAGGTTCACGAAGGAATTATGTGTAAATGGAAACCAAAAGACAAAGAAACTAAAGGAATAGATTGGCGAAGGCGTTTTTGTAACTTATTTCAAACCTTTAATGATAGTTTGTTTATAAAAGAGCGCCATTTTTTTCGTTGTAATAAAGAGAGCTCCTTCTATTACTTAATTCTCGCCCTGAATAACGATCCAATTAAACTTCATCGAACTCTGCTTAAATCCGTAATAATTATAACGTTAAATCACGGTTATCACGCCATTGGCAAGTTGCCTTAATGCATAATCGGTTTATTCTTGAACAATTTCCTTTAAACCGTTAAATTTATCCCGTAATATCGTGCAATGGTCCTATAAGCTTTAAATTTTGTTCTATACAAAGTGCTCTAAACCTATCATACACACCATAACAAAGTAAACTTTTACATTACCAGACTCGTTATACGTAGTGCATTGTAGGAGTAGACTTTCGTACAACCTTATTTTAAGCACGTGACTTTGAAACGATATCCAATTTTGGTTTTCCGGCCTAAACCCGACGTACAATGGTAAAGCCGTGGTTAGAAAATAAGATGCAAATTACTTTACCAAGTGTTTCTGGCCATTCAACGTACCGAATTGGTTGTGGTTATAATAGAACAGAAAGTTTAAGTTAGTGATAGTGTAATGTTAGAAAACCATAACTTGAAACAATCCAGAAGACACTTACCTATATAAACCAACCCGGCTCACCAATTTTAATCGCATCTTTTGTCTGAGCCGAATGTTGGTTCAAGAACGCATAAAGTTTGAAGATATCGTCTTGACTGTTAGACCCGCCTGTCACAACAACTTGAATATTGATAACTCGATTTATATTCGTTGGTTTTGTCGTAAATTATTCCTAATAAAAAAAAATAAAATAAAATAAAACGTAAAATGAGTAATTGCTCATTTGAACAATCAAGCAAAACATCATCAAAAAGCTTTCAGATGCTCGATTTTATGCATCAAATTTTCCGTTAAACTGTCACTAACAGTTATTACCCTCCAAGCTGTATAAAAAATAAAACGTCACAACTAGAGGTGCAGACTTATTTACATAATAAGTCGTAACTAGGTCGTAGTTTATATAAAAATAATTTTTATGTAAACTACAACCTAGTTACAACCTATCACATAAATATGTCTGCACCTCTAGTCACAACTACAGCCCAGGTCGAAAACTGATGCATATCAATCCAACAACTATTCAGTAATAACATATTACCTTATACATATTAGCCATAAGCTTCTATATGCGTTTCGTTTGGTTTTTCTATAAACTAGGCTGGATTAAACAACTAAAACTTATAACAGTACAATTATGAAAATGTTATTTCTTTTTTCGTAAAGTAGATTCGTCGGTTTCAAGTTGCTAATGTACTTTCTTTTCTCATAAAGTAAATTCGTCGGTTCTATTCGTTGTTTGAATTTTCACTTTTCTTGTAATGTTTTTTCCAATAGCTTAATAAAAAAATATAATAAAATAAAACGTAAAATGAGTAATTGCTCATTTGAACAATCAAGCAAAACATCATTAAAAGCTTTCAGATGCTCGATTTTATGCATCAAATTTTCCGTTAAACTGTCACTAACAGTTATTACCCTCCAAGCTGTATAAAAAACGAAATGTCACAACTAGAGGTGCAGACTTATTTACATAATAAGTCGTAACTAGGTCGTAGTTTATATAAAAATAATTTTTATGTAAACTACAACCTAGTTACAACCTATTATATAAACATGTATGCACCTCTAGTCACAACTACAGCCCAGGTCGAAAACATAATGCATATCAATCCAGCAACTATTCAGTAACGATATATTACCTTCTATGCATTAGCGTTTATTCCATATAATCTTCCACATGCGCTTTATTTGGCGACGTAAAAGCGTCTAAACCTTCTATATGTAAAAAACATAAAGTAAAAAATAAAAGATAAATTATTAGAAACGAAAAGAAATGTTTATAAAAAGCAAAGATGTATGAAAACGAAAGCTAACAAGAATTTTGTCATTGATTGTTTTGATTTTAATTATTTTAATCACTCACGTCAAAATGATGTAATCATTTCATTACCAGAGTGATCATTTTCCCCAAAAAGGAACCTAGTCATAAATCGTGTAAATCGTGTTCACTGATTACCGTGAACTTGTCTGCTAATTATCTGGCCTAAAAAATACTATACGATAATACTCTCATCGAATACAATTCATGGTGTCACAATTCAGAATCTGGTATTATATTCTAAATATTATTTTTTAATATATTAATAATTAACACATTTAGTGTTCTGCAATGACCGAGTTTTTGAGTTCGTGTAAACAAACTTCACATATAATATAATATAATGTCTGGAGCGAGACTCATAGTTCTACGTCTTTTGATGACCAAAATTACATTTTTGATACCTTTATAGTAAAAAATATCAAAAACGTAGTTCAGATGTAACGCCTCTGAGAAATTTGATCTACAGCATACAATACAAAACTTTTCAGGGGCTGGTATGAGTTCCAGACTTATACCGGTTTCCAGTTCCTAGTTTTATTATTTAGTTGAGTAAATTTCAGATAACACGAGAGGAGCCCGGTCCCGAACCTAGGGTCGATTCCGAGTTGGCTTCAGGTTTTCTTAACACCCTTGCTAACTCTAGACCCTAACGATCAGGTGATATGTCACACTGCAGGGGTGGCTACTGTACACTTATATTAAATTTTTATTGAATAATCGACAAAATTCTTATATTACTTGACAGAATTTTTCTTTTCAAGTGGTGACTTTTTTTAAAAAAACATATTACTGCGCTTAACAAAATGTTAGTTTTAGTCTTTTATTTTTTTAAAGGTGAAGTTGCAATTTATAGTGTGCCTAGGTTTTAAAGAATCTTGAATTGAAACTGGGCAACTAAAAGAATGTTACATAGGCAATTTTTTAAATTTGGTACTAAACTTTTGCAAATTTTTTTTTGGACACAAAAAAGATCAAAGTATAGCGAAAACATCTAGAATAGAATCAACTTGTAAAAGGATACTAAGGCATAAAATTAAGATTAGTTAATGAAATACTATTGTTATAATAAATAATTCAGCTAGTATTTATTATTATAAAGAGATTTTTTGTAATGATTCTAATAAGGATTTTGAAATTCTTGACTATGTTAGCATTGGAGATAATTCTAAAATTCTTGAACAACTATGGTTGTTAATGGAGCGACATACTCTAGAGCAGCTTTGAAGTAAGTCCAACCCAAGTTGAAGTAAGTTGAAAATCTAAAAAATATGTTGGAGTTAAATTGAAGTAAACCGAAGCAGTTATAAGCAAATCTGAAGTGGCTCCAAAGTGAACCTAATCTAGTTGGAACGAATTAAGAAATATTTTAACCCAAGCTACTTTAATCCAACCTATTAACAACTTTATAAACAACTAACATCTTTATTCAGTATTGTTATGAAACGTGAATGCAGACAGTAAACAGTCTAGAACAAGATGTTATAGACATGTCTATTAATATTTTTTGTTTCAGATAATTAAAATTGCAATAAAAACAGTTGCGCTAGCTTATTAGGTTGTTCAATAAACTATATAACATAGAACAACTATCATAAATACGAACATTGTTTAGAACATAAGACACTGTTCAGAACTGTCTGTGTTTGCTTAATTTTGACAGAACAATGTTCATGTACAATACTGCTTTTACTGTTATCTAAATATAGTACAAGCAATACAAAAAGTAATATAAAATATATAATAGTTCATATGATATACAATTTAATACATTAGCAATTAGGTTAGCCAAGCCATATGTCAATTTGTTATTAATAACAATATGGGGTCTTTGCCTTGAAAATGACCTTACGGGACATAGTAAATCATATGATCCAAACTTGATTTTCAAGGCAAAGACCCTATATAAGAACAAAATAATAAAATCAATATAAATTATTTGATACAAAACCTTAATACATATAACAACTAATAGAAAATTATTAAAGAATATAACTATTTGTTATAAAATTAAATTAAACTTAGAATTTAATTCTGGTAATTTTAAGCAAATGAATAGAACATGTATTGTAATAGACAATTTAAATAGAACATTACAATGATGTTATTATTTTGTAAAAAATCCATTAAAACAATTTAAAAAGATTTTGAAATTAGATTTTAATATAATAAATAAAATTGTTATAAAATTAAAAAGTAATGGTTTCTACCTGTTATTGAGAACTTGGAGCATCTATATAAAGTATAACATTATATATATATAGAGAAATAGTACTAATCTGTGTTATATAAAACTTTA